GAGCGAGTCAGTATTTGTAGATGCAGATGATGTTCCGAGTAACCTTTCGAAAAAACCCAATGTAGAAGGTTCTCAGCCAGAAGAGCCTGTTGGACAAGATGGTGCGCAAGAGTCCGACGCACTAGCTCCGATATTGAGAAGATCTTCACGGCCTCCTGTGCCTAACAGGAGATACATGAACTATCTGTTGTTGACAGATGGAGGAGAGCCTGAAAGCTATGATGAAGCTTGTCAGAGTGGAGACGCGAGCAAGTGGGAGCTTGGCATGAAAGATGAGATGAAGTATCTTATCTCAAACCAGTTGTGGGAACTAGTTGAGTTGCCTACGGGTAAAAAGACACTCCACAACAAATGGGTGTACCGGGTGAAAGAGGAGCAGGATAGTTCCAGAAGATATAAAGTTCGGCTAGTTGTCAAAGGATTCCAGCAGAAGGAAAGAATTGACTACACCGACATCTTTGCTCCCGTGGTGAAGCTCAATACTATAAGGACAGTGATGAGTATTGTAGCTATTGAAGATCTTCATCTCGAGCAGCTAGACGTGAAGACAGTGTTTCTTCACAGAGATCTAGAAGAGGAGATAGACATGCACCACCCAGAAGATTTCTCAGAAAAAAAGAAGAAGAACCTGGTGGGCAGACTCAAGAAGAGCTTGTATGGCCTGAAACAAGCCCCAAGACAGTGATATAGAAAGTTTGACGGTTTCATGCATAAGGAAGGTTTCCAGAAGTGCAACGCCGATCACTGTTGCTACTTCAAAAGATATCAGTCCAGTTATATCATCCTACTATTGTATGTTGATGATATGTTAGTTGCAGGTGCAGATCAAGAGTTTGAAGCAGCAGTTGTCAAAGGAGTTTGACATGAAGGATTTGGGTCCAGCAAAGAAGATCATTGAAATGCAAATCACGAGAGATAAGAAAAGAGGTCTCTTGCAGTTATCTCAGACGGAGTACATCAACCGTGTTTTACAAAGATTTAACATGTGCGACGCCAAGCCAGTGAGCATACCCTTGACCAGCCATTTTCGCCTATCGAATGATCAGTCTCCTCAGTCAGAAGAAGAAAAAGACAGTATGGCTAAGATCCTTTACGCCTCAGCTATCAGAAGTTCGATATACGCAATGGTCTGTACGAGACCAAATATTGGCCATGCAGTGGGAGTGGTCAGCCGGTTTATGTTGAATCCAGAAAAAGCTCATTGGGAAGCGGTCAAGTGGATTCTGAGATATCTATGAGGCACCACACAAAAGCGTTTGCACTTTGGTAAGGGAAAGGTAGAAGTGCAAGGGTACGTAGATGTAGACTTCGACGGTGAAGTTGATCATCGAAGAAGCACCACCGGCTACGTATTCACTGTCAGAACTACAGGTGTTAGTTGGATATCACAGATACAAAAATTGTCACTCTGTCCACTACAGAAGCTGAGTATGTGGTAGTGACTGAAGCCAGTAAAGAGATGATATGGCTTCAGGGGTTGTTAACAGAGCTGGGATTCAAACAGGAGAAGAATGTTTTGCATAGCGATAGTCAGAGTGCGATTCACTTGGCTAAGAATTTCACATTTATTTCTAGAATGAAGCATATTACGCTTCAGTACTACTTCATCAGATCCATATTGGAAGATGACGTGTTGAAACTGGAGAAGATTCCAGGAAGTAAGAATCCAGCAGATATGTTAACAAAGACGGTAACCATTCAGAAACTGAAGTTGTGCGCAACTTCAGTTGGCCTTTATGCATAAGTGATGAGAGCAGAGCCACACAGGAGGAGATGCTTGTTGAGATAGCCTGCTAACATCGGTTTGGTCTCCAAGTGGGAGATTGTTGGAATTGGGGGTGAAGCCCAAACCTGTCAGGCGAGTCGAGGTGGCGTAGCCGAAGCTTCAGGTGAGGTCCAGATGAAGATTCAGGTAAGGTTGATCAACCGTCAGGCAAGCTCGAGAACTTCTACAGGCGAAGACGACGACGACTTGCAGGCGAGGTCAAAGAACAGGCGAGCTCGAGCACGGGTTCATAAGGTGAGCTCGAAGTCGGCTCCTTCAGGCGAGGCGAGCTGCAGGCGACCTCCTCTAGGCGGGTGACTTTCAGGCGAGGTCGAAGCCTCTTGCAGGCGAGCTCGAGCGGGATTCTTCGCAGGCGAGCTCGAGGACAGCTCACGACAGGTTGTCGTGAGCTGGCTAGGGTTTCCCTATAAAAGGAAAACCCCGACCACAAGTTTTTTGTGTGTGCCCCCTTTGTTCTCGTGAACTTCATCTCCTGGCGGCGGACTCAAAAAAACGCAGCTGCGTTTTCTTCTTCTTCTCCTCTCGTGATTCTTCCCAGCTCACAGATTGTTGAGGGGAATTTATTGTGGGGGAATATTCTCTATTTAATAGATAATTAAATATGGGTATTTGAGAGAGAGAGAGATTAATGCTGTAGCTACAGTATTAATTTGTATTTATTGAGAGATCTCATATTTGAGATCTGCTATTGCTTTGTAATTTCTTGTTGGTTAATAAGAAATTAATTGTGTGGCTCCCGAGGACGTAGGCAGTTGCCAAACATCGTTAAATCTTGATGTATTTTTTCTATTCTGCGTTTCTGCTGTCTTAGGGGTTTCGACGTAAATTCCTAACACCAAGTGACACAACCTTCTAATAAAAAAAAAGAAAACTAGTAATTACCAATTTATGCTCCGTTTGTGATATCATTATAAAGTTAAGTAACTAGCACCGACCCATTTAAAATTTATCTCCAATAGACCAAATCATCAGCGATCCAATCTCAAGAACTCCATGTATTAAATAGTTACTATTATTTTTTTTAAAATAAATAAGTGGTTAAGTAGCTTATATTGAAAATGATGGTTTTTTGAAATTGAATGGTACATCAATTATAATAAATGACAGATTAGTAGTTTATATCAAAAAGAATGTATTTAGTAGTGTTCGAATGTGCGTAATAAGACAACAATTTCAAAGCATGAGTACAAGGGTCAATTATAATTATACTCAGTTAAATATTTTTTTATATCTCATTAAAGTTTCTAATTATATTAAACATTTCTTTATAGCGACAAAATTATTAGGAATTCTCAGCTTTGTTACTGTATATAAGTAAAGGAAAATGATAATGACACACCTCTAACCATAATTTTAACCACACCTTCTTTTTTATTTGTTACAGTGCACCGGATCTCACAAGAGATTTTAAAATTTTAAAATCTTATGTGGGGCCCAATGCACTGCAGCAAATGAGAAATATATATGATTAAGGTTGTGGTTGAGGGTGTGCCCCTAGTGTCACCCGTAACTAAAAGACGAGTTCCTTCTTTATTAAAGACGAGTTCCTTCTTTATTAATATCCACAGGAAGACAAACCGCGTAGAAAAATGAAAGCACTCCGTTTTCATTGACGTTATGATGGCAGAGGACTGAAGCAAGCCGATTCGTGAAGCGACGTCAACGTAGACACAAAGTTTGACAAGGTCGGCTGAAGGGACAAATCAGGGGCTGCTTTCTGAGCGAGACTCGGCTCTCGCCAACTCAAACGCTGAAAACAGCGCATTTATTGGTCTTCGCGATAACTATAACAACCGATGAATATTGACCGCTGGATGTTATGTTTTTTTTTTTTTTAAAATTGCCTCGAACCTTGTTTACATAGATTTCGAATCGATGCCCCCGCCCCCATTTGCCGCTTCTTTATATCTCCATCGGGTTCATTCTTCTAGGGTTTTATTCGCATATGTAGCTTTTAAATCACGGGCGTTTTCAAAAACACTCTCTGATTATCAGTATTTGCAAAGCCACCCCTCAAGACGCCAATTTTGTGGAGAAACTTATCCTCGACCTAAATTTGTAGTTGCAACGTAAAAGTTATCAACAAAGTAGCAGCTTATGCTACCGATTTAGCAATTTGTTGATTTTAGGAGTATTTTTTTAAAGTTGATGATTTGAGGGGTAGTTTTGTGAATATTAAAATGTAGAGGGTATACGTGCAAATACGCAGGCGCATTCTGAATCCTGAGATGAGGGCTGACGGCGGCATGATGGTAATTTTCATGTTCCCTCCATTTTTTCAGATCACACCGCGCTGTGTGGTGTTCCCCCAGGACGGCTGCTCCCCCGGTCAAGCACTCGAAGCCCTGCTAATTTGGCCCATCAATGTCCCGAAAGCCCACAATTTATAGGAAAGCCGACACGTCAGCCTAATGCCCAAAAGCCCACAGAATTTTGTCAGAAGCCCACAACAGCACCCCAGCTCTCTGCCCATCGGTGAAGCCCCACTCTCTATGTAGTTTACTCCGAAGCCCACAAATTAACCTGAAGGCCAGATAATTTATCCTAAGCCCCGTGTAAGCCCACCTTCTTACTGAAGTTGCTAGTTAATTGTCCGACCTATTTTGGATAGAAACTGGAAGGCGTGAAAGGAAAAGAGAGGCGAGCTGTTTTAAAAAAACAGTCTAAATTCAATGGTAACTGTTGTTAGTTGTTTAGATCTGAAGAGTAAGGATTCTATCATAACACCTCATAGAAGAAGATGATCTACACCATACACGGGAGGCTAGAGGGTTAGATTGGAAACCGGTGACTATTCGATCAACCGTGGACGCCGCCACCCCCTCCCTATAGAGTTGGTTCTGACACAAAAAAGCTATTTGGCTCGCGGTTCAACCGCGAGCCCTCAACTCGCAGAGAGGTGAACAGAGGGACGGGCCCCACTGCTGTGATCAACGGCGAGCCCTAAACCGCAGGCCAAATAGCATAGTTCGGTTCTGATATGATCTCCACCGAAATTTGAACACTATTTATTTCTTAGTTTACAGTGGAATTTAACTGTAGGAGCCATGTTCAAAAACAGTTCTTTGGTACTTATATAAATTGATAGGATGAAAGCTAGAAGTAATACCGTTAGTTGGGCGGTATTTTGGCTGAACTTAAACGGAGGTTTTATGACCTTTTGAAAGTTAAGGAGGGTTATCTGAGAAAGGACCAAACTTTTTTTTTTTTTGAATAACAAAATATCAAGTAGCTGCAGGTAGTTGATATCCGAAGCCCTCAGACAAATTTGACTTACCAGCAACGTCACTACCCAAAACAGAAAAGTAATGAGACCTCATCCTCTTCCTTAACAAGCTTTCTTTTGTAATTGTAGCTATGGCAAATTGTCAAGACAAGCTTAGTCACTGTCAGGTTGCGAACTAGAAACCTATAACACTGTACAGCTCAGTTAACTTTCTACCCTGGTCAGTCCTGGAAACGATCTTTGGTAAGCGTACGAGTTCGATCGCAGGAGTTGGACTATGTTCAATTTGGAGGGGAATGTGCTCGGAAGCAATAAACTGCGACTTTCCTCCGCAACCGATCTTGCTTTTGATGCCTGACTCTCCCGGCCACGGCTAGAAAGAACAACTTCCTTGTACGTTCTCTAACGGTTTCCCCCCGTGTTGAGAAATTGCCTCCCTTGACGAGCTTGATGTACAACGCAGCTTTAAGAAAAAGTCCATACATTATGTTATTTAGTACAGTTACGAAGTTAATTTGAACTCCAAAGCCTTTTTTACATTAATGCACTTTACCTTGCATAATGAAACATGCACACACCTTTTGGTTGAGAAATCAAAGCCGATATCAAACTGTAGAAATATGTTGGCATTCTTACCATGATGTCATCAATCTCATACAGCTTTCCTTGTGTGTTCTTCAACTAATCTAATGACCAGATGAGGTAGGATTAGTGATATGTACATGAACAACCACCACATAAAAGTCTTAAGTACCTTGCCAAAATTTCAGACTGATAGGCCTAGACAACCACTTATTAAAGCTTCCAGTTCCAGTTCCAGTTCATCTCTCTTCAAGGCAATAGCACGTATCTCAGGAAAAATCCCCTATACTGTCAATCTCTTCTTTGCTCTTTCCTGAGATTTGCATCTGAGAATAAAAAGAAAACAAAAGGATTATCAGAAGAAATTAGGAGTCTCGAGAGAATCTCTAAGTTACCGTGTCCACAATGCTCACGGAACCAAGCAAGGACATAAGCTACAAATGGCAAGAGATCAATTAGGATTCAGAGCAGCAGAGGGGAATCAATCAAGTTTTTATGAATTATTAGCAGAGCTTACTGTCACTGAACTTGCTGCAGAAACAGAAAGAACTTGTCAATCCCTTTATCCTAGTATAACATGAAGGCCAGATACAGTTAAGATGAACAAAGGTTAGTGCAAAGAAGAACTTTTTACCCTCCTGTCTGAGCATTTGAAGAAAAAAATGTGACACCCTGCATTGGGCCAGATGGTTCAATTAAAATCTGCAAAATTGATCACAAGCTCCTGAACACCATGTAGGTCCCCATAACAAGAGATTAAGTTGCCTACCAAATAAGAAATGCACCAGCATCAGCTCTCTACTGTTACGATACTTGTGCTATCTGACATGTAATGAAGTATCTAACCCCAAAAAAAAAGACCCCCATTCCTCATGGGATATAATCATAGTTCTGAGCTAAATATGTAAAGGATCCTTTTAAATCATAGTTCTTAAGGATGAAATGAACTTGACCCTTATCCAACAAGTTACAGAAATGGATGTGAAGTATAGGATATATATCCAAGAAGTGTATGAAGAGTATTTTAAATTAAACATGCATATTATAATTGAGTACAGATCTAAATAAATACATGCATATATGTAAGGAATGTCCAAGAAGTGTCAGGTAAGGGTACAGCACAAGTTGATAAGGGTGTGACTCCATATTAGAAGCACCCAGGCAACATTGAATGTAGGTCTTTGAAAATGGTTTCATTTTTTTCTTCTCTTGAACATTATTTTCTTCAGTCAAATCAATAGCCTTTTTTTATAGGATTCTAACAGTATGAATAAATAAACATAATAAACTCTTCAAAGTTTTAGGAAGCAAATAAGCATCTATAAAGATTGTCTTCAATTTCTGTAAACATTATACATGCACTCTTGGCAATTGTCAAAACAGGTTTGCTTGCTCGCTGAATTTGAAATGTTTATTACATTAAAGATGATATTGGGCTTCTAAAGTACACCATGCGATTATTGTTCTAATTTACTTTAACCAACTTCTTCAAATAATCTCTAGGCATGTAAAGCAGGTATTTAAATTTACCAGTCACTGAAGTAAAGTACTCACACGGTAACTTCTTATGTATTTAACTTCAAATTTTAAGTTTCTTCATGAACGTGATTGTAGTATTTAATTTTTGAATACTGTTACCAGTTTATACTTATCTGCAGCACTAGTATATTTTATCCTTCTGTTTTCATCCACGATATAGGTTTCATATTACCGGTTTATACTGTTACCGGTTTATACTTGACATTTGTGTAGATCTTATTCGTAAAGGCTAGTAAGATGTCGATCATTCATCTCCAATATGAATGAATATTAGTTGACATAGCGAAGAGATGGTTTAATATTAAGGTATATTGCCATTAAAGCGATGTCCAGTAATTTGATATCCTACAAGACGAGTTCTCCGAAGAAATGTTGCATTCTGCTGATCTGCAGATCAGGCTAATCATCTGTACCCTTCACGTGTTCATACTTTGTAGTGGTGACATATCATTGGGTGCATTATCCTAAGTAACATAAAGTTTCTCATGTTTAACTATGTTTGCTATAATGTTTTTGTTAAGTATTGGTCTGTTGATATAAATTATCTCCCAACAACCCATTAGCTAAAGCTTTTAAGTGAATTGGTTCTAGATGTTTCTTTCCCTTCATTTTTGATGGTCAGAAATGAGGAAACAGCCCGCACATTAATAGGAAATCTACCCCAAGTACTCTATACATAAGATACATTATCTTATCTACATAGCCAATTAGAAAAAGAATAAATTCTGCTAGATATTTATCTCAAGAAAAATTTCAAGCCAGATGTTTGAGTATGACCACGAGAACTAAATACAATAAAAAAGATCTGCGTTTTGAGAAGGTGACTGAAAAAACCTAGGTGTTATGGGGAAAGAGGAAACATGCGGGGGTTAGAGAAGTGGAAACTGCAGGTTGAACGAAACACCCATTTCCTCCTAAGCATTGTAGGCCGCGGCAAACTTGATCTTACAGGACAAGAAGTAAACAAATATCAGTTCTTCGAGAATGGATGGGGTCCTTTAAACAAACGCTTTGATGGCATTATTTATTTTCACAGAGAACATTGAGTTGACATTTTACACTTAACTTTACTATGAAGTTAAACATATGGTAGTATAAGAAATTGCAATGACAAACAGCGGTATTTTAACTAAGATCTGATGCAATAGAACTATGCCAGGTCAATCAAAGATGAGTTGATAACACTTAACAATAATTTAATTACGATAATCAACAACCACATAAAAGAAAAAACAATCAAAGACACGTGAGATTTACATGGTTCAGCCAAATTTGTCCTACACCCATGCTGAGAGAAACGTGATTGGTCAGGCCTTGGGCTCACCATGATTCTTTAGAAACCTCTTCGCTTGAGAACAAGATGATTCATAACTGAACTAAATTGGATATTTCAAAATTGGAAATTAGATAAAGATTATCTTACCATTAATGTGATCAAATTAATCAAACTAATGAGACATATGAACCAAAGTGATGGCCATAACCACATAAATTTCCCTTTTCCTGACTTCATCAACTTTCTTACCTTTTACAGAAGCATGAAATTTATCAAAAAAATTAAAAGAAAGAAACACACTGGTACTCTTTCCTCCAGCTAGACAAGCAAATGCCAAACTAAATGTGGGAACATGACAATCTAGCAACCTTCCCCTCAATTGATTACTCAACAAGAAAGCAGCAGATAACTGACACTGATGTACGACACTATTATGGTAACTATATTTTAGATTCATATGATTGTTTCCCGCTTAGTATTATACATGATTCATGTGGTATCCAGTAATATTGTGGTATTTAGAAAAACACTGTTGTTTTCCAATGACATCGACAAGAAAATAACAGATAAATGATGTCGACATAAAATGGTGTTATGGTACCTATATTTTAGATTCATATGACCGTTTCCTGCTTAGAAATTATTCATCCTTAAATTGATGATCAGTATTTTAGAAATATGGTGGATATTTTAGAAAGATACTTTGTTGTTCTTCAATGATATTGTCAGACACGAGGGAAAACATAAACACAAGCTAAATTGCAAATCATCATTATCAACCTAACTTGACTTAGTATTTAGGCATACTAAATTAGAAATTACTTCCTAAAATATTTATAAACCAACCTGGTGACTAAAGCTATTCTTGCAAGCCACAAAATAACTGGTAATGTAATGATAACTCACCACATCTAAGTAATTAAATAACAGGAGATGAATCTTGAGGATAGTTAAAGACATGAGTCTTGTAACGAGATGGTCACAACTTCAAGGCATATCGCAACCAATATAGTGAGAGAGAGACTTTATGGAAAAAGGTAGAAGGGTCCAGTTTACAATAAAAAATATATATAGAAATAACTGAAGGATATTGGTGGAACTGGATTCATTGAGAAAATAGGAAGGAACGAACCTGTTGCTTAGATACTTATTTTCTCCATCCAAAATTACGGCAGCTATAAAGCATGCAAGTAGCACTTCTCCAAGGCTAACCACTATTTCCATGTATCTCGATAATTATGATCACACAGTTACGACTTGCACAGGCACCTGGTGCATATGTGTATTTACTAATTGGCAGCATTCCTTACAATCTCACTGATGCGTGATCTGTGGAACTACAATGAAATAATCGAAACACTCCAAAGCTGGACAAGCTAAAAATTGATATAACTCAGACTGCAGGAATCCAGCAAATATTGACTGCAATAGAGAGTTTTTCTTCAGCCATCTGTCAATTTACATAATTGCCAGCTTCGTTCAGGCATGCAAACTGCATTGCACTATTACTAGCCATTGACACTTGAGATTTGGATTATGGAACGTCCCAAGTTCAAGTTCTGCATAAGGCCTTCGCTGAACGGAAAATAGCTACTACTATGACAACTGCTATGACAATACTTATTTACATTGTCAAATGTATATATATTATGTATACGCAGACACCCATATACTTCTCAAAATGGTCTGACCATGCTCTCAACTTTAATACAACCTTATACACCAATCTGATTAACCTACCTCCTTTTATTGTGCATAAATGTAGTATCCTCAGTCCTTGTAGCCATACCACAAATCAAAGAAAACTAGGAATCTAGGTGATATATTAACATTTTACTTGAGCTCAAATACCAGAGAATGCTGGTTTTGCCCTTGAGACCAAGCTATGGTGCTAGAAGAATCTTGGAGTGGATTAGGAAAGCTCCAGTCAAGTCTGGCTATGACTTTTCTTCCAAAAAAAGAAAGAAGAGGAAATTAACCCTATCACCGACAATGTATCATGACATTTTTTAGGAGAAGACTTGAGGATGAAGATGATGATATTTACATGTTGTAGGTCCATAACATCCAAGAATGCTAAATACGAGGAATCAATCCATAAACCTGCCATTTGTGTTGATACTCATGAAATTACATGCACCCACGAAGATGGATGGTGACATGCTCATGGGCACAGGCACAAACACATGTGCACATGTGCATGTACACACACATACATCACCATGTACCATGCACGTGTACACAGTGAGGGTGTGGAAGGAACATGAGAAGAGACTGTTAGGATATGTGAAGCCTAACTATCAGACCCGCCCTATACTTCAGATTGAAGAGGAAATAGAAGAAGTTGGAGGAACATGGTCAACGGCGAAGAAGTTTAAGAAAAAATGACGAGGATTCAGTTTGGCAGATTCACGATCGACCGCGGGTGGCGCGCGCAAACGTACACAAGACTCAGGGTGGCTTCTGGATTTTATGTGGTCGACCGCGCCAAGCCCAGGAATCTGGGTTGGTCTTTGGACTTCCGGCGATCGACCGCGATACCCTGTAATCATTTTCTGCTCTCTGTCGTTCGTCACGGTCGACCGCGACGATCGACCTCGTGTCGGGTTTTGGCTTATGTAGGGTTTTTTGACCTGTTTGAATTCTGTTTTGTTTTAACCCCTAAGTTATTAAAGGGGTGATTAGGGCAACTTGTAATTAAGACGAAAATAGTGAATTTTTCTTCTGCGAAGGCCGTGGACGTAGCTTCTCACATTAAGAAGTGAACCACGTAAAATCTTATGTGTTTGTGATTGTTTTCTTTCTCTCTCATCTCTATTTCCAAATCGCATCAGGGGGTTTGATCAAAAAACCCTAACAAGTGGTATCAGAGCGACCAGGTTCGGCGCAGGCGATTTGAGGTCAGAGACATAGGATCTGAGAATGAGACGTCCAAGATTGAGAAGTTTGATGGGACAAACTTCGGGTTCTGGAAGATGCAGATGGAAGACTACTTCTATCAGAAGGATTTATACTTACCATTGGGAGAAAAGCCAAGCGATATGAAGGATGCAGAGTGGAAGCTATTAGATCGGAAGGCCCTTGGAGCAATCAGGTTTCAACATCAAGAATCAGAATTCGACGGCGGATCTCATGGCTGCGCTATCCAGCATGTATGAACAACCCTCTGCAGCAAATAAGGCACATCTCATAAAGAAGCTGTTTAATTTGAGGATGTCGGAAAGCCAAAAATTTAAGAAACATCTGAATGAGTTTAATGAGATCACAAATCAACTAAACTCCGTCACTATTTAATTTGATGATGAAATACAAGCACTCTTAATACTTGGTCAGTTGCCTGAAAGTTGGAAGGGTACCGTTATTTCGATTAGCGGGTCATGTGGAAAAGCAAAACTGAAGTTTTCAAAAGTTGTAGACATGATAATGACTGAGGAAATAAAAAGACAAGAAGGAATTTCTAGTTCAGGGTCGGCATTGAATTTTAAGAGCAGAGGTAGAAATAGAAACAAAAATTGAGGGAATAGCCGACAAAGACCTAATTCGAGGAACAGAAGGTCAAGATCCAGGAATCGAAAAAACAAGAAAGAAATTGATTGCTGGAATTGTGACAAGCTTGGGCATTATGAGAATCAATGCAGGGAACCCAAAAAAGACAAGGAGAACAAGATTGAAGCAAACATCATCTCAGGAGAATCGGATGATGCCCTTATTTGTTCGTTGGAGAGCAAGACAGAATCATGGGTGCTCAATTCAGGAGCTTCGTTTCATGCTACCTCAAATAGAGATCTATTTGAGAACTACATCTCAGGAAACTTGGGAAAGGTCTATCTTGGCGACGATCAACCGTGTGATATAGTTGGAAAAGGAGCAGTGCAAATTGAACTCAACAGGTCTATATGAAAGCTGAATGATGTGAGACATGTTCCTAGCTTGAGAAAGAATCTAATCTCTATAGGACAGTTGGCTAAAGAAGGATATATAACAACCTTTGCATGCGATACATGGAAGGTTACGAAAGGATCGATGATTGTTGCCCGTGGTACGAAGAGTGGATCTCTCTACATGACAACAGATGCACGTGGATTTATTGCAATGGTTGAAAGCAAAGAAGACCTAAATTTGTGGCACCAGAGGCTTGGTCACATGAGCAGCAAAGGCTTGAAAGTTATGCAGTCGAATGGAAAGCTACCAGGTTTGAGGTCAGCTGATTTTGACTTATGTGAAAGTTGTATATTCGGGAAACAAAAAAGAATAAGCTTTAAAAGAATCGGCAGGAAACCTAAGAAAAGGAAGCTTGAGCTAGTTCACACAGATGTGTGGGACCTAGCATCAGTACAGCCCACTGGTGGAAGGTTATACTTTGTGACCTTCATAGATGATCACTCGAGGAAGACTTGAGTCTATTTTATGAAACACAAATCAGAAGTGTTTGAAGTCTTCAAGAGATGGAAGGCTATGGTAGAAAACGAAACAGTGTTGAAGGTCAAGAAGCTTCGATCAGATAATGGAGGTGAATATGAAGATTCGAAGTTCAAGAAGTTTTGCTATGATAGTGGCATTAGATTGGAGAGAACAGTGCCAAGTACACCTCAGCAGAATGACATAGCAGAACGAAAGAACAGAACATTGACTGAAAGAGCTAGAAGTATGCGACTTTAAGCAGGACTCCCAAAGCAATTCTGGGCAGAAACAATTAACACAACTGCATATCTGATCAACCGAGGACCATCAGTGTCTTTGGAGCATAAAATACCTGAAGAAATATGAAGTGGAAAGAAGGTAAATCTTTCTCACCTAAAAGTTTTTGGCTGTGTTTCTTATGTTAATTTGAATGATCATGTTAGAAACAAACTTGATTCTAAGTCACTAAAATGTTATTTCATTGGCTATGGTGGTGATGAGTTTGGCTACAAGTTCTGGGATGAGCAGAACAAGAAAGTCATCAGGAACAGGGATGTTGTCTTCAATGAAGCAGTTCTCTACAAGGATCGTTTGTTCAGTCCACTAGTTCGGTACAACCTGAGCCTACATACTTCGAGTCAAATGATGTTTCAGATGGAAGCAACCTTGAGACCAGTTCTGATGAGGAAGCTACAGAAGAGGCTGCAGAAGAGATGATGGAGGACATTACTTCAGAAAGGACAAATGCAGATGCAGAGCCTGGTTCGCATGCTAGAGAGTTGAGGCGATCAACAAGAGTTCCCAAGCCAAATCCGAAGTATCCATCACTATAGCCCAGAGCACATTTGAATTACCTATTATTGAGTGGCGGTGGAGAGCCAGAAAGTTATGATGAAGTATGTCGAGTGGATGATGCGAGCAAGTGGGAGCTTGCTATGAAAGATGAAATAAAGTCCTTAAACACTAACAAGACTTGGGAACTTGCAAAGTTACCAGCAGGAAAGAAAGCATTGAGTAACAAATGGGTGTACAAAATCAAGGAGGAACATGATGGTTCCAAGAGATACAAGGCTAGATTGATGGTCAAAGGGTTTCAATAGAAAAAAGGAGTTGACTACACGGAAATCTTCTCTCCTATAGTCAAATTGACTACCATCAAATTGGTTCAGAGTATTGTTGCAGCTGAAGACCTACACCTCGAGCAGTTAGATGTAAAGACAGCTTTCCTCCACGGTGACTTAGAGGAAGAGATATACATGCAGCAGCCAGAGGGGTTCACTCAGAAAGGCAAAGAGAAGATGGTGTGCAAATTAAAAAAAAGCTTGTATGGTTTGAAATAAGCTCCAAGACAGTGGTACAAAAAGTTCGATGGATTTATGCATAAGAACATATACTCCAGGTGCAATGCTGATCATTGTTGTTTTTTCAAGAAGTTTGACACCGATTATATTATCTTGTTGTTGTATGTCGACGACATGCTAGTTGCCAGCTCGGATATGGGTGAGATCAAAAAGCTGAAAAAACAGTTATCGAGTGAGTTTGACATGAAAGACTTAGGCGTAACGAAGCAGATATTGAGAATGAAGATTAACAGGGACAAGCTCTTGGGCACATTGTAGTTATCCCAGGCCGATTATATTAGACGGGTGCTTGAGAGGTTTGGAATGAGTGGTGTTAAGGTCGTCAGCACACCTTTAGCTAGTTATTTCAGGTTAACTAAGAAACAGTGTCCAGTGACCGATGAGGAGAAAAATTATGATGAAGGTTCCATATTCGTCAGCCATTGGAAACCTTATGTACGCCATTATGATGTGCACGAGACCTGACATTGCAAATGCAGTGGGAGCTGTGAGCAGATTCATGTCAGATCCAGAAGAGCAGTACTGGGAAGCAGTAAAGTGGATTCTTAGGTACCTGCGGGGTACTATAAAAAATTATTTATGCTTCAAAAGAGGCAAGCTAGTTCTGCAGCGATTTGTTGATGCAGATTATGCTGGCGAGATAGATCAGAGGAGGAGCACTACAGGATACGTGTTTACTTTGGGTACTATAACTATTAGTTGGGTTTTCCAGTTACAGAAGATTGTTGTTTTATCGACTACAGAGGCTGAATATGTTGCTGTGACAGAGGCTAGCAAAGAGCTAATATGGTTGCAGGGATTCCTGGAGGAGTTAGGGCAGAAAAGTGAGAAGAGTGTTTTACATTGTGACATCCAGAGTGCCATTCATTTGGCAACGAACCCAACTTTTCATGCCAGGACCAAACATATACAGATCCGTTATCACTTCATAAGGTTAGTATTGGATGATGACATGTTGAAACTTGTGAAGATTCAAGAAAGTAAGAACCCGACTGATATGCTTACGAAGGTTGTTACTACGGAGAAACTGAAGTTGTGTTCAACTTTAGTTGACCTCATTACTTGATGATATGGAGGCTGTCGTCGCAGAGAGAGGTGATAGAGATTGATAGTTAGTCTTCAAGTGAGAACTTGTTAGGATATGTGAAGCCTAACTATCATACCTGCCCTATACTTCAGATTGAAAAGGAAACAGAAGAAGTTGGAGGAACAAGGTTAATGACGAAGAAGTTCAAGAAAAAATGACGAGGATTCAGTTTGGCAGATTCACGATCGACCGCGGATGGCGCGCGGTCGACCGCAAACGTGCACAAGACTCAGGGTGGCTTCTGGATTTTCTACGGTCGATCGCGACGGTCGACCGCGCCAGGCCCACGAATCTGGGTTGGTCTCTGGACTTTTGACGGTCGACCGCGACGGTTGACCACGATACCGTGTAATCATTTTCTGCTCTCTGTCGTTCGTCGCGGTCGACCGCGACGGTCGACCGCGTGTCGGGTTTTGGCTTATGTTTAGTTTTTTGACCTGTTTGAATTCTGTTTTGTTTTAACCCCTAAGTTATTAAAAGAGTGATTAGGGCAACTTGTAATTAAGACGAAAATAGTGAATTTTTCTCTTGCGGCGGCCGTGGAAGTAGCTTCTCATATTGAGAAGTGAACCACATAAAATCTTGTGTGTTTGTGATTGTTTTCTTTCACTCTCATCTCTATTTCCAAATCGCATCAGGGGGTTTGATCAAAAAACCCTAACAGGTACAAGGTAAGCTTTCATTTTTGTAAAATGATGCCGCAAACTCGAGAAAAAATTATTGGATAGTACATAAAAAGAATGTAGCATAAATAAAAATGTTATAATGGACTTATGAGTATCTACAGAAAGACATGACACAATTGAGTGAACTTGTGAAGATTATAAGTTGTTCCTATTAAGAATAAACTAAAGAAAATTGATTGAGACAGTTTGGCCACATGCAACGGAGACAACTAAATGTACCAATTAGGAGAAGTGACAAAATTATAATTAATGGAGCAATGGGGACTGGATTACGGGTATGTCAAAGAGCAATTGACTGGAAGCAATTAAGAAGGACACGAAAGAGGTTAACCAAATAGAGGAGATAGCCAAAAAGAGAACTGAACGAAAAGAAGAAAAAAGATTTACTTAGCCGACCCCAAAAAATTTGGGAAAAAGGATTATTTTTTTTGTTGCTTGTTTCATTATTTTATTATTTGTGTGAGAAATAAACTAGTCACGGATATAACATGGCCTTCAAACATTGTCTTAGATAACACGAACAATTGACCAAATACCAAGTGCAGGGGTTACTATGGAGATAACAAAATATTAATTAGCACGCACAAAAATTATATTTTCTTGGGAAAAATGATAATCCAGATCTTGTATCTTCTTTTTAGTTTCAGGTCACTAAAAGACAAAGCTAGGAGAGTAATTCAGACAATTGTACTTATTTTCAACCTAAATTTGCTATGGATCAAGTCATGAATAAAAGGACAAATTTTCAAAATAAACCCCTTTGGGACTTTATTTTCAAAAACGACCCATTTGAAATTTATTTGCCATTTTCAACCATGGCAAATAAAGTTCGAAAAATTCACGGGATTTAAAATTCCGTGAAGTTTAGTGCATGATTAACCACGCTAATAAAACTATAGAAATTCAAAAACTTCACGGGATTTAAAAATTTGTGAAGTTTAGTACCTGATTAACCACGTTAATGAAGCTGCAGAAGTTCAACAACTTTACGGGATTTAAAATCCTGTAAAGTTTAATGCTTGATTAACCAGGCACATCACGAGATTTTAAATCCCGTAAAGTTTTCAAATTTTATTTGTCATTTTCGACCTGGTTTCAGCCAAGTGGCTGAAACCATATCAAACATGGCAAATAAATTTTGAAGGGTTGATTTTTAAAAATAAAATTTTAAAGGGATCTATTTTGAAAATTTATCCTGAATAAAAAATTGAAGAATGCTAAGATGTCGTAGATTCAGAAAAGCACTTTCATTCGATCCTAGTCCTATAACATGCATAAGATGTACCTGCAGAGCACTCTAACTCGACCACGACGGCCTCCTCGATCACCATGATCACCAGTCACTTAACCTCCTCTTGCCGCGCCACGATCAACATCAATCTCCGGCGGATCGCCAGAACGCGAGGAGGGAGGAACAAAAGAGAGGACCGATGACGTCTAATTTCGCTCATTTCTTTATCCGGCGGCTCTCCTCGTCGGTGAATAATTCGCGGATTTTATCAAAGGGCAACCGGATCATAATTGATTGAACAGAGAGAGAGATCCGTCGTCGACGAGTCAGCGACGGTGAGGTTAGGAGTAAACGGCGGGGGATGAAAAGGACAGACGACGCGTTCTTGATCCGCAGGAGAAAGTTAGATTATACGGTGTCGTGAAGGTAAGTTAATAACAAGTGTGGAATTAATTGCCACAGAACGTAATTACACTGGTAATTCTGAAAGTCAGATTACAAAGATGTTTGCTATAACTACAATAGCGACCGTATGGCCCAAAAGACAAACAACTCCTAGGGTTGAGTAATGACGTTTATGTTTTTACTGATCCTTAGAATTTCTTATTTGGTTATATCATATGAGCAAATAATAATAATAATAACACCTCGTTATGCTATATCTAACATTATTCTTCTTTATATTATTTTGATAGATAACTTCGCCTCTGGTTATAAGATTTGATAGGTTTACCGCTACTGATAGTTTTTGTTGTTCATATTTAACGATAATGATAGATATATTTTCGAGTTTTAAGGACACAAAATGGAGGCCAACGCTCACCCAAAATGCTTTGTCCAAAATTAAATAATCTAAGAACTTTATCTATAAGGAGGAAGTTTTTTTAAAAACACAAATTTTTTGGTAGGCCGAGTAAAAGACTCCTATGCTTGAGCTTGAGGGAAAACCTGAGTTAGATCACTCAAGCCATCATCAAGAGTATTTAATCTTTTCAAGAACAATCCCCCGCAATTTGGGGGCACGAAACATACTCAACAAGCCTAACGAAACACTGATGCATAGAGACCAAACGGGAGCAGGCCCGGCCCAAGGGATAGGGCCCAAAAAATTCGTGAAAAAGCACAGCCCCTCGTCAAAACGGAAAAACGCCGCTCCGCCCTCTCCCTCTTCGTCCCCGAACACAGCCCTTCCTCTCCCTCGTCAACATCGCTGCTCTCCTCGCCCGACGCCAGCCTCCTCCCGCCGTCACCGCAGCCACGACGCCACATCGCCGCCGATCAGCAGCCCTCCCCGCCGTTCCCTCCCCGCCTAGGGCCCCTGAATGCTCAGGACCGGTCCTGAACGGCAGTGAAGAATAAGGTTGAGTTGCTAGACATAATACAAATCTAAATTATAATATTTGCTCAACAAAAGAGAGAAGACAAAATACCTTTCCATATCGTTCCCTTGAAAAGCTTATTTTGAAGTTAAATCCTAACATAAAGTGTTATTTCAATTTTCATAAGTTGTCTTAAAACCAGTCATTAAATTTATTGAAATTACTAGAAGGTCTCTCAAATTGATCCCTCCAACCAAAATCCTCAGTAAAGAGATATAAGATTCGGGAGACCATAGTCATTTTAACTATTTGAGGAACTAGCGACAAATCATTTTAAAGATTCATGGGACTGATATACGAAAAACACTAAATTCCAACAAAATCAGGTGAATGAGGCAGATAGTACCGAACATGCGTAATTAAACACAGTGAGAGGGGTTTAAGTGAAAAATATTCCGCCCTTGTTACGCGACTCAAGATTCATGTTCCAAGTCTCACAATCTTTTCCAATCGTACGCTCGTGGCTCGCCCCAATTATAAATAAATCCCCAAAATGAACTCGGACTCCATAACTCATCGCCCTCTATTATTATTTCGCAAAAGTGCGAGATGAACCGAACCCACCTCGATCTCTCACCAATTCGCCGATATCGCAAAATTAACCTCAATTCCTCGAAATTTCAAGGTGCGTTTCTTTCGATTTCGTTTTCTTTCTTCAACTTTTAGTCGCATTTGACCTCGATTTCAAAGGAAAACAAGCAGTTTGTACTTTAACCCTAATTTCACCTTTTAATTTGGAAGAATTTTCGTCTTAACTCTAACCGTAGAAAGTTATTAATTAGGTCATAATGATGTAAGATTTTAGGGTTTAGGGCTCACAACTCGTTGAACAGAGTGAGGAGGTTGTTAACTATTTACAAAATTTATTTGTGTGCAGTTATAACTTCATAGTAGTTTGTTTGCTTGAGGAGGTTGTTAACTATTTACAAAATTTATTTGTGTGCAGTTATAACTTCATAGTAGTTTGTTTGCTTCGTTTAATTCTACTTAACATACCAAATGTGCAGTTATAACTTCATAGTAGTTTGTTTGCTTCGTTTAATTCTACTTAACATACCAAAAGTTATTTTGTTATTTAAATTCTAGTTGATCCATATTTTCTGGAAAAATATGCAAATCTTTCGAAGTATATGTATTTTTCCATTTAAATTCTGAGATGGTATAACAACTCTATTAGCACTGGGAGGAAGTATATGTATAGGCTTTTGATGTTAGTCGAAGTCAAAACAAGACTGGCTGCAATTTGAATTCCTACTCTAGGCAACTATATGGAGAGGAAGAGAAAATATCGGGAAAATCTCAGTGTCCTCTCGCTGCTAGTGAAACAAGTTTCCTGTCCTTGTGGCGTCAGGTCATTCAAACTAAAAGGCTAATAGTAACTTTCTTTTGAAATTCTGTGGATAATGTTTAGATGAAAGGGTAAGATGATTATAGTTTTATTGTGATTAGATAGTTGTATTTAGTTTTGAGGCGCATAGTAGCCTGAGCCCGGCGCAAATTTATACATTTTTCTGTCGAAGCATTTATGTTTCTATTAATTACATTAATCAAAGCTTGGCAATTAGTAATCATGTTACCCACGTTTAAGTAATGGTCATTTGGTTCATTAACTATCACATGCATATTCCATAAGATTTAAGGGTTTTCTTTTTGTTGATGTTTCTCTTTTAGTTATGTGGGATTATGTGGTTTGAGCATTGATTAATGTTTTGGCATGGATGGTGTGTAACTGATGTAGCATCGGGTAAGACCGACATATTAATTTTTTCAATATTGAAACATGAAATACTCTTTTTGCTCAACTGAGGTTGTGTGATGCTATTTTCACACAATCTTCTTCCATGCCCAATATTTTCAGATCAGTGTCTTTGTTTCTCTCGTCAGCTAAGAACATTGCCCGGGGTTTTTTTATTTCTGAATTGGTGGATAGCTAAGGAACATAGTTCATGGACTTGAATGCATCACCGTTGCCTGAAGATGATGAACAGTCATATGAAGAATATGTTGATGATGCACAACCATCAGAATCAGTGCAAACCATGCTTAGGGTAAGCTCCTTTCTTCACGTATTTAACTTCTGACTTGATGAAAGTAGATGCCAGATGGAGCAATAAATTGCAGTATCTTCGTAAAGACCTTGTCTATTTGATTTTTATTTCATGTGTTACACTTCTATATTGTTTCACCTGTGCAATTTTTCCTACAAACCTCGTTTATTGAATTTTATTTCTTGTAATTTCCTCTTCTTTATATTTCTTTTGTCGGTTCTTCTTTATGTTCTTGCATCATATTCCATCCCCTGAGAATACACTTACATGATGATCTATTGACCCGTTAGGAGCGTGAAGAAAGGCGTCGTCGGTTGAAAAGAGAAAACAGGGATGAAGGTCCGAAGCAGTTTTCAGAACCTTCTAGGAATGATTATATGCATCAAAATAGAACTTCCAGAGGTTATGGAAGGGTTAGGCAGCTCCCACAAGGTCTGCATTCCCTATATGCATCAAAATAGAACTTCCAGAGGTTATGGAAGGGTTAGGCAGCTCCCACAAGGTCTGCATTCCCGTTACAGTTTTAATTTTACATTTTAATGCTGTCAATTTTTATTTGTTTTCTTATCATTTTGTTATGGAGAGTATCATGCTTAATAGACAATCTGACTTGTCCATGTCTCCTTTGAAATGAATAATAAGAAAAGGAAATCTTTATTCTCATAGGGAGATGCTTGTACTAAGTTGTCCAATTTACAAGTACAATATGTTCTGAAAAAATGATGTTTCTTGCTATTATTCAAAGTGGGCTTGTCGGAATGAAAATTAAGAACAAAGATTGTTTCAAGAATCTTTCTATCAAATAAATCCAACAAACGACATTCCAGAAACTTGATCAAATTGTCTAGAATGACTAGTACAAGTGTTATCTAGGGGGGAAAATAAGCATGTCTGTCCAAATATTTGAGAAGGAACTATGTAAGCTGCTGCAAGGATTATTATCTATAATGGTGCAATCAATCCAAAGGTAGAAATTATAAGTTCACTGAGCCTAACATGTGTTTGATCCCTAAATATGAAGTTTAAATTTTCAGAGTTTGTTGGTCAATGCACACCCTACGAAAACTTCAGGCATATGAAAGTTAAATGACATGCTTTCCTTTTCTTATGACCAAAATATTAGAAGTGATTTCTAAGTATACTAATGGAGCACTAAAGTAAAACTGATAAAGCAATTGAGATTTCATAAACGTCGTTCTTGCGATGGCTCCTTTCAGATTTTGACGTTTCATTGGCGTCAATCAAAGTTTATCTGTTTTTGAATTATCTTCTACATGGTTTCAAGGATTCAAATCTTCTACATTGGTTGGTTAGATTTGGAATTGCTAGCTTTCTCCTGGCAAACCTTGCTTGCTTCTTTTATTATTGTTTTGCACCACGACAGTGCTTTGAAAACGACACATGATGCTGCATATGCAGCTATACATATTGTGCTTCCATCAGGTGTATGTAGTTAGCGACTATGAAGCACCAACACACGAAACTTGGCCCCGAGTCTGCGTCCGACGCGTGTTGGACGCGAACACGCGTTCGACACGCGTCAACGCTCTCGACACGCGTCAACGCCCCGACACGCCCTCGACTCGTTACCGACACGGTTGGGATTCGCGAACAAAAAAAGAAAAACCCGAAACCCAAACCGAAACCCAAACCCTAATTCTTCACTTAATAGAGTCCCGACGCCGCCACAATCCCTTCGTCTCTCTCGTCCTCGTCGGCTCGTCCTCGTCC